TGATAGATCTTCTTCCTAAGAACTGTGTAATAGTAATGGATAATGCAAGTTATCACTCCAGACTTATAGAAGGACTGCCCACAACCAAGTGGTTAAAAAAAGACTTGCAGAATTGGCTGAGTTCAAAAAATATTACGTACCATCCCGGATCTATAAGAAAGGAACTTTATTCGTTGTGTGCCCTTCATAAAGAAAAATTTAAAAAATACGAAATTGATGAAATTGCCAAAAATCGTGGAATGACACTACTTAGATCCCCACCATATCATTGTGAATTAAACCCGATTGAACTGGTATGGGCACAGATAAAGAGTGAAGTTTCAAGAAAAAATACCACTTTTAAAATTCATTATGTTAAACAGTTGTTTTTGGAGGCCGTAAATAATGTAAAACCTGAAAACTGGGAAAAGGCAGTAAATCACACTATTAAAGAAGAGGAAAAAATGTGGAAGCTGGACAATATTACTGATAAAATGATCGAGCCAGTTATTATAAATCTTGGTTCTGAAAGTTCATCTTCTGAATCTGATTTGGATTTGTAACAAGTAGCTGTAAGTTTTATATTAATATTCTTATTCATCTATTTAACATACCTTAGACGGTTTTAAAAAACTCTTTTTCTCTTTTATAATTTTTTAAAAATTAAAAAATGTGAATTTTTTAAAACCATTTTAATGTAGGCCAGTCAGTTCTAATATAGTGTGTAATAAAAGAGGTCACTTTGGTTTACATACACATAACACTTTATAACACTGAAATAATTCATTTATTTTTTACAATTATTCAAAGTAATTTTTCAATTAATCTTGAGCACGCTCATGGAGTGGTCGAAGGTACCAGTTAAAATTATGCTAATTACTCTCTCGTTCATAAAAATAAACTATAACTGTATCCAAAATGTCTTGAAAAAATCTTTACCTCTCTGGTGTATTACTACTATAAAAAGAGTAAGCCGTTCAATAATTAAATGAATTTAAATCGATTTAATCCACATTTTTGGCAAAGATTAACAAAATAATTTACTTCAATATTCGAACTGGTTTGATATAATTAACCCTTTACTAAATTAGTCAAGAATCAATTAAACGATGAATACAAACTAGAAGAATGACAGGAATTTTCACATCACATGAAACCATTTACCTAATAGATATTCCAACTATTTGGAAAAACTAAACAAGCTAGAATCTCATACGTTCATTAAACTATTTCGTGTAGGTCTCTATTTGTTATGTTCCTGTATTAATTGCTGTAATCAACATATCAAAACAAAATTCCAATCGCAAATGCAATCATTACGTTCGACATCAAACAAAAATTCGGCCGGTTTTTGTTTTTCTATTAAGATGTTTCTCGATCAGATTTTTTCGGAGAAAATCAATCAGATTCGACACCTACGTGTAAACGTAAATTTCCCAAATATTTTACATTATGGTGAAACAGGAACTTCGGAGAAACGATTATTAACTTAATTTCTAATGTTCATAATATAAATTTGTAGCAGGAACTAAATGATGCTGGACGTATGTTTTGCTGGAGTTAAAAAATGAGTAAGAGGTTTTTGGAAACAATTATAATGTATTCCCAAAAATAGGAATTTATATAAATGGATAGAAAGTTACATGAAAATTAAAACAACGAAATGATTTAATAATTACTCCGAAAAAGGTCCTGCTTATTCATTTGGGGTGGAATCAACATATACAATATTTTCCAGAAATTTTCGTTCTTATTTAATTTGACAGTACCTAGTTCTAATTATACCAATAATAATTTAATAATATTTTTTTAATAAAATGATAATAATAATTTTGGGTGGGCATTAAAATCAGAACACGACGGGGTACATTTGGAAGTACTGGTAACAGAATAGCACTCTTGGAAAAACGACTGCTGAGGAAGATTGAATTACTGCGTAGGGACATTGGACAAATAACGGAATACATACGAGAAGTAAGAAGTAAAAAAATCATTAAGAGAGGTGACGAAATATTTTTTCTACAAATTTAAAAAAGGAAATGTTGTCCTCAGACGAAGGTAATTCCCTATTTTTTAATTTGACAACATCTTTGTTTTAAACAATTAAGAGATCTAATTAGCATCATTCGAAAGAACGTACTTTAAAGCTTAAAATATGCAAAATACGAAAAAGATTCCCTTTTAATAGAATCATCCACAAGGCTTTAAAATGTGATCCTCAAAATCAGTCGGTTTTGAAACTCGCATTAGCGGCTGAGGAAGGTGCTGTTCACTGTATCTCTGGTTGTTATTTATGGATTTCGAAGTTTCTTTTTTAATTTTTATATACTTTTAGCATACATTACGTAACTGCGTAATTTAAATAAAATATTATTTATATGCTGAAAATTGTTTTAATCGATATATTATGATGCCGATCGGTTATGTTATAACAAATAATAAAAAAATGCTTTTTTCACTTCGGAACCACTTCTTTTATAATTTGGTATATTGTAGACTAGGTAAAGTATATTTCTTGGAATTTGCATGTAAAATGGTTATTTTAAGCATTGATTGCAAATAAAATGTAAATAAACA